CAGCCAGTGTCACTGTGCTGTGTTTTATTCCACCGCTCCACCTGTGTGTGTGTGTGTGTGTGTGTGTGTGTGTGTGCTGCTTCACCAGTATCAGAGTCTTTAGAGGACACACAATCAGTCCTACAAATAGCATCAATATCAATTCAATAGATTAAAGCAGGGCAGTTAGCTAAAAATAGCATGCAGTACTAATAGTATAACAACATACTCTTAAATGATTTGAACAGTTTTTCTTCACTTACTGACTTGAGTTCAGTAAATGAGTCAGAAGTCCATTGGATGATGGCTATCATGACTTCTTTTTGAATGAAGTATGTTTGTTTTTGAGTGTAGCCAGTGAAGAATACTCAATAGACCAACGTCTTCTGATCTCTTCGCATTCAATTCACACTTAAAAATTCCTGGGTAAAATATCATTTCTTTTAATGTGGTGCTGTGAGACTAAAGCATTTCAAGAAACACAGAGACCTCTATTAACAATTCTGACAATCAGAAAGTTGAATGAGAGTTTTCAGTCATTGATGTGGACTGTTGGAACTTAAATGAGAGACACTATTAAAACATCTCTGTCTTTACAGTTTGAGATCATTTATTGTGAAACTAGTCATTCTCTTTAGGAAGCTTATTGGCCAAATAAGTAAATCAGTGGAGTGTTGCTTAATTTTACATACCTATACATACAGTCCACTGCAGTTTGCAGCTGAAATGAACACTAGTGGCATTAAAACACCAATAACTTGTTCCATTTCACACAAATTATGAATACGAGGCAGATTATTTATTAATAAAGATTTATTTTCATGTGATTCCTTGCACAATGCTATGTTATGAGCACAAAACACTTTTACTCTAGTGCATGATTTGTAAAATATAATACATTATGTTTGCATCACATAACCAGCTCCATATGTGTGGCTTTACTGACATAGTAAACTTGCTTGGTGGCACACCCGGTACAGCACTGCACTTGTGCTGTGAAGCACTCGGGTATGAGTCTCGTGAAACACAAGTCACAATAAAAGAGCTCAAAGACTAGTACAAGCAAGATAAAAAACCATCGATATGCTTTAGCTCACTTTGCTTTTGATTGGTTTCATGTGGCTAACATTTTAGCGCCGCTCACCTAGTGTTAATTTCCAATGTAATTAAAACCATGGATAAAACTAAACATGCTTTTAGTGCCACTTGCTGGACATTTAATTTTAAAAGTGTCAAAAAACACGTGAGAAGCAACGTTTTATCATTTTGTAGAAATGTTGCCACAGGCACTTATTTCCAAAGTAGGGCAGGGCGATATGGTCAAAAACATTATCACGATAAAATGTTTCATATTAGTCAATATCGATAAGTATCACAATTAATTAAAAATGTATTCTTATTTTAATTTAAATTCTAGTTTAAATACAGATTTTTTTTTTCTCCTAAGTGAACGTTGTAGAAAGCAGACCATTAATTGTGGTTTTAAACGACTCTTTGGTCAAACACTTCACATTTTTGAATTCTTTACACTTTTCCAGTGCTTTTTCCTCAACAAAATAAATAACTCAGTAGAAAAAAATATCTCTTAGTTTCTGCATGTTCTAATGAGTGATATTGTTTCAAATCATGAAGCAGGTTTGTGTTCCTGACTTTGATGACTCATATCTTCAGCACAGTTTGCAGTGCAGCCTGTAATATTAATAATAATAAATTTTGTCTCTTAGAAATACGCATTTGACAGTAGCTTGAGTTGACAGTTGTAGTGGCTTGAGTTTGGATGCAGATGTAAATTTATGTTCATGATCATAAATAGTAACATCTGTAAAAATTGTAACAACCTCATTTTTCTATGGTGAAATGCTCATGCTCCAGCATAACAAGTTTAGTTATGCGTCCACTGTATAAGTAATATCACTTAATACATAAACAAATCTGTACTCCTGCAGTGAGCATGAAGCGTCTTCATTGATAACTGAGTACCAACAGATTTGGTCAGAGGTTTTGCGTCTGTCTGGCAAACATCATCCCTTGTGTTGCTGCTCTGTTCTGATGTGCTGGGCTTTGCAAATAAACATTCCACTATTAGTACAAGCCTGTTATCTTTACAGAAAACATACTCGGTTCAAAAGTCAGTCATCTGATTGTACTGTATTTATGAATTACACAGATGGGGAGCACGGCGCGATAAAAATAACGACACAGCTGGTCTCACGGTGCCTTCGCGTGCTAGCTCAAACTTTATAAGTCCCACTTGTGATTTTGAGCTGGACAAATTCAAGCGGTCGACACATTGCTTTCATATGCAATTTTTAACGACCACATTTCTATTTACAATCATTCTGGTAGCACGTGAAGGCAGCATCAGTGAAAACA